CCCCAAAACCCCAAAACCCCAAAACCCCAAAACCCCGGGCGTTAAAAATTTAATTGATTTCGCAAAGAGTTTATATTTATGGAAGAGCCTAACATTTTTTACCAAAACAAGAGAATTTTCAAGATACCGACGTTAAACCTCTCAGAGATTAACTCTGGAGTACCTGACATTGTATCCCAGAAAGGTGGGAATAGGTTTTAAACTGTGTAGAATATACTAGCTTGGATAAAAAGAGCCCTACATTTACTCCCCTTTATGATAACAGTGATTCGTTATTGCCATATTTATCACCTTCTGGAGCTACAGTGAAGGCTAAAAAGAAGATATTGTAAGCTTTATACCCTAAGGATAGACAAAAAGTGATTAAGAGTAATATGAGAACTTTTAAGGAAAACAAACAGACAAAAGCAAGACCAATCTCTATCATAAATATCAACTTGAACCAGAATATTTTTGAAGGATCAAAGAATCAAGTAGGCTTGAAGCTTTATTTTTATAGTCCGACTCTCAAAGATTTGTAAACTCCTCTCAGTTTGAGTATACTCCTCGCAGGCACCCAGGAAAAGGTAATTTGGAATTTTATCGTCAAATAAGTAGTTTTAGAGAATACATCAGGGCTGTATGACTCAGCACATAAGCCTTTTACTAAGATTACGAGGTAACTATAGTATCTCAGGATTATAGGCTTTCTAGCAAGTTTAAACGCGATAGATCAAACCCGCTTGTAAACTCAGATCAGGGTAATGCACCTGAACTTTCCTATTTTTGCAGTGAATTTTGGGATATTTTACTGTTACCCAAAACTGCAGCTCTTGAATCAGTGTGTTTAACTCCTATAGATTTTTCCTTGGACAAAAACCAGACGCTGAACAAACCCAGATACCATGCTTTGATAGATAAAGATGCTTTAGGGCCTCGTCAGAAGATTGCTAGATCTCCTAAGATAAACACTGAGAGAATTTTGAAGAAAAACGAGATTAACGACCTTAACAAAACAGATATTTACTCAATTCCTTACGAGTTTTGGGAGAAGAAAAGATTCCTCTCAAACTGTAGCGAGTCCAAGGACTCACACACAACCGGAGGAGGTAAGGCTACTTCCTTATCATATGTAGGGAAGGTAACTATCGGCCAGACCTCTAAAGAGCTGATGAAACAAAACAATATTTTGCAACAGAAAAATGAAGATGTAGGAGATATTTCATTGAAATTTAGCTAAAACTAACAGTCAAAAAGCTAAGAACTCATAATGCATACTTAAAGTCTAACTATGGAAAGTAAGCATCGATAGTCATGCTCTAGGCTGAATAAAACAAAGATAGAGCTCAACCACAGGCTTGAAAAGCTACAGATAGATTATGACAAAGTCTCTAAGCAGCTTGCAGGTAAGAAAAAAAATCATAGCATAGGGAAAAAGGCGGAATTTGATAAAAAGATGAATAAATAAGCAGAAAGAGTTTGACTTGACAATCAGTCAGGTAATGTCAATGTTTTTAAACCTGCAGGTTATGCAACAGATGGAAGAAGAGATCCAAAGCCGTAGAAAAGCTGGTAAGCTTAAGTAAGAACCATTAGAGCTCCAATTGAAAGAACTCCATCATGAAGTCAGTCTAGGAGTCAGCAAAGATACTAAGATCAGCATGGATTTTGTCAAGAAACTTCTTGAGTTACGTTGTGACTCAAATGACAAGAAGGTTCTGAATAAGTTAGTAAAGCTTGCTCAAGGAAAAGTAGTGCTTGATCATAATGTTTTAGGGAAAATCCAAGAATAGAATAAACACGTTAGAAGAGCTAGATCCCATCATTGGAAATGATATCTCTGTGTGAATTACTCCTATTTATGCCAAAGGAAAGAATAAATTGAGAAGAGTAATTTTAGAATAATGAGTTTAGTTCAGAGAGAAGAACAGAAATGATAGATCATTGTCTTCGCTTCTAGGAGAATCTAAGGTAACCCATTAGATAATTGTGTAGTCGTGGAAAGGATTTAAATGAGCAAAACCAACAGAATCATCAATTAAAAGAATGAAAAAAAGCACAAGCTCAAGAAAATTAAAGAAAAATAGGAGAATAATGAATCGTAGAAATTCACAAAAATAACCTAAATTCAACACAAAATTAATTTTTTGTACACTTCCAAAAAAGCCTGAGTCCAAATCCTGATTCTATACCTTCCCCATCCCCAAAACCCCTAAAAATCGCATAAATCCAACCAATCCATTCCTCTCTATCTCCCACCCCTTTTCCAAAATTCCCAATATTTCAACACCTCCAATTCCAATTGGGGTTTTGGGGTTTTGGGGTTTTGGGG